ATAATAATACATTATTATAATTATGTATTATTAGCTCGTGATATACGTGTATATGTGATATTCATTACCTGGACCATACACGTATCGCCATCTATTGTCTGATTTAGATTTGATTAATTTCACTTCTAACTGTACAACGGGACACCTTGTAATTAACATATCGATATTTGATTTTTTCTCAATCTACTGTAACGAGTATGTTCCCTCATGTTTAAAAGTACAATTTTATTAACAAAGTCATTTTATTTCGCAGATATTGTGCATGTGCGAACCTCGATCTCCTAATATGCTACAGGAAAATATGGTCGGACGAGATATTCGGATAGAGATAGTTCACGTGAGACTACTGGTTGGTAAACGATACCTAATTTTTAAATCGAATTTCAACAAAATATGATTCGATTTAATTGATAAAGGCTGTGCGCGCAGCTGGATCCCTGGATAAGTCATGTGAGACCATAGAAATAATATAGATATAGACTATCTATATTATTTCTATGTGTGAGACACATATCGAGTGGGCGCTCGCGTGTGCACACGTGTGTTTACGTGCCGCCACGTCCATGTGTGTGTGTGCGCGCACGTGTTTCACCAATCTGAAGGCAGACTGAAATTAGCAAAGAGTCTACGGATGTTGTCAAAGCAAAAAACTCATTGTGAGTTGCCCATAATTTGCGTCTAGACAGACTCATTTACAAACAATACTAGGCTACTACCGGGCATATATTATAAATTATATCAGGCGGTTATAGATATTCATGAGGGTGGAAAGGATTTATATTGTTTAGCTTATTACCATGCAATGACCACAATGTAAATAAGTGTGCTAGTTATGCTTTTTGTGTATATATCTTTGGTAGTTATTCAATTTTATGAATTCAGAATTTTATTGTAAAAGTATGCTATGTATTGTATATATAATGGATGCCTAAATAAAAAATAAAAAAATAAAAAATACCGCCACCAATGGGAAATGATTTGTTACTGTGGCGCTTCATATGATCGCTACCATCGCTACGGATTCAAGATGGACCCGCCCTTATCGTAGTTTGTACCGATAATGATATAAACTTTAAATCCTGTGCACAACCTAGGATACCTAGGCAAAGAACCAAAGACACGTTAGCGAATAAGTATTAGGTGCTAGGTGCGTTGATGTAAATTCTGAAATACATAACTATGGAAAATGCAATAAATCTTTGTTTACATGCCATGGTCCGGATGAATTGAATAGGAATTTGTTGTGTTGTTTCTACGTTTAGAATAATTACATTATATTATTATATTAGGCCTAGTAATAGCCTAGCCGTAGTACTACTACTAGTATCAGGAGTGAATAATAATAGAATCTATTACTAGTTTCTCCGGTCAGAGTAGCGTTTACAATTACACCCCCATGTCGTGAGTTTGATTAATGCCCTAATGGTGGCGGGGTACAGTCTTAAAAATTTACAGAGGTCTTCTTGAAGGTGTTGTCAACTAATTTCTAGCAAGAAATGGGTCATTTGTTGTCGCAAAGGCGCGACAATACGTCGTTTCACCCAGCAACCTCACCTTGTTTTGACGATTTCTCACGATTTCATGGCTCGCGTATTTCACGCGATTTCAGTTGTACCATTCATGTCCTGCGGCCGTCACATTTCTCCTCGACTTTGCCCGGGCCACTTACGCAGTCATATAACTTCGTCTCCGCTGTCAATAACCTGAACCAACGTTGCCCTTGGGCATTTTCCGCCCAACTAGTTAGTATGGCAGAATTTTCAGGGAGTCACACGCACTCCTGCATATGTCAAATCAGGGAGTATTTGACTCCGGACTCCCGTTAATTTCGCACCCTGCCTTGCTGTTAATGACTGTGAAGGTAAATCCCCAGTAATAGATATGTCATGTCTATACTTTTAATTCTTTTATTCTTGTTTCTAGGAGTCGGAACGTTGGTCATATAACGTACGTACCGGGTACTACAGATGGCTGATCAGGTTGCTGTGAGGCACCCACAGTTTGGGACAAAGAAGAAGGTTGCGTACGCAGTTGGTCATGTCCTGAATGACCTGTGTGCTTCTATGTGGTTCAGCTACCTGCTGGTGTTTTTCCATTCTGTAATTGGGATGAACAATGTAATGGCAGGAAACCTGATGTTAGTGGGACAGGTAGGGTTTTGGCTGAGATATAAACTGCAAAATATTTGTCTGTTATATTATCAAATTGTGTGCTAAGTTTTAAATATTGCCATAATTTAAATGTACTTGTCATTTTTACTTGTACTCTTGCTATGTGCTGTTAGTAATCTCAGGTGTGATTGTATTAGTTAATGCGACAAGACAACATTGTTGTGTTTTGACCAAGTTGATTCTCTAGTAATCTGAAACCAATACTGTCTTAGGGTGACACATGTGCAAGAGTTTTAGTTGTGAAAATTGATAAATTGTACGTTTGAAGAATCGACATTGATTTAAAAAATGTGTGCCCTAATATGCATGCTATTCATTGTGATTTTTCTAAAAGGCTGCAGATGCACTGTCAACTCCATTTGTTGGTTTAGAAGCTGATGGCAACTACATTAGGTGTGGCTATGGGAAACGCAAAACATGGCACTTGATAGGTATTGTATCTTCTGTTTGCGAACTCGTGTCATTATAGTTTTTCAAATATAACAGTACTCCAGTTTTGCTGATAGGGTCTATGTCCCCCAGGGTACTGCTGGAACGTACCCTGGGTATGGTCCGTTATACCGGAACGTACCCTGGTACTAAATACTACTATCTAATATGCCGGACATTACCTTGCCTAATTCACTAACGAGTCTAGGGAGTCGCCTACGCCTACTCCCTAACCCTAACCTTAACTCTAACCCTAACTCTAACCCAAACACTAACCCTAACCCTAACCATATCAGCTAGATAGTTACCAGGGTACGTTCCGGTATACCGGACCGTACCTAGGGTACGTTCCGGCAGTACCCTGGGAGACATAGACCCTATCAGCTCCAGTTTTCAGCATTACTTTCAGTTAATTTAGGGCTCATAGTTATGATATATGGTAAATTTTACACAAAATCTCACCTCTCTTGGCATTGGCTCTCATATAAAAAAGATGTAGAAAAAAGATAGTGAAAGATTTATTGTAAGATAAATGCATTTTGAAACTTTTGGGGTAATATTTATTGAGCTCAAATTTTGTTCATGACTTGAATTATACCACAGCACCTGCAACAAGTACTGTGGTTGCCCCATTAATACTTGCCACGGTGCCTAGAAATTGCCGTATATCTGTTGAAATAAATTGCCGTGTCTGTCCGCCATACATTGTTTCAAGAGCGTATTAAGAAGGAGAGCGTACAACGGTGAAATGCTGAAACCATGTTGCAGTATTAGTCGAATTAAGAAACTTTGCCTGTTTTATTTTGACGATTCTTTGCAGTAGTATTGATCAGCTGTCCTACCTTACTAATATAAAACAAACCGCTTGTCCCTACGATGCTCCTACGCTGAGATAATGAGCGGTGAAAATCTGGTATTTTTGCCGAAAACCGACTAGAGATCCCTGTTAACTGCGACCCTCTCTCGCTTTGAGATAGTTTTGGGAAACTTTGCGTGTTTCCGTCAATGATTGACGAATGGAATGAATGACGTCTGTTATTGATTCAGATTGCCATAGTGATGACTCCCACCTGTGCCCACCTCACGCTGGATGTAGCAATCTCTGTAGACTAGTACTGATGTAATGAGCCAGCGCTACCATGGCGCTACACAGCGGCGACCGGAAGCAATACACTGGCCACAAAACGAGAGAGGGTCGCAGCCAACAGGGATCTCGAGTTGGTTTTTTCGGCAAAACTACTAGATTTTTACCGCTCATTATCTCAGCGTAGGAGCATCGTAGGGACAAGCGGTTTGTTTTATATTAGTAAGGTAGGACAGCTGATCAATAATGCCGCAAAGAATCGTCAAAATAAAATGGGCAAAGTTTCTTAATTTGACTAATACTGCAACATGGTTTCAGCATTTTACCATTGTACACTCTCCCTCTTAATACGCTCTTGATTGTTTGTCTCTGTACACTTCCCATTAATTCCACAGTGTGTATGGATCACTGCCTGTCTTGCATGAAAAATTGTTGCCTCCATGCCTCTAATTTAAAGGGAATGTTTGCTGTAGTGTCCTAAGATACACATACGTATCCCAAAAGATTTGCCTGTGGTGTCAGAGTAATGATCGCTACATTTTTTTGTAGGCACTGTGTGTGTTGTGGCCAGCTTCCCGTTTCTCTTCATCATGGCACCAGGATACCCTAACATCAGCCACATAGCTATGTTTGTCTACTATGCACCATTAATAGTGGTCTTCCAGTTTGGTTGGGCAGCTACTCAAGTATCTCATCTTTCTCTCATTCCTGACTTGGTGAGCGATGCAAGTCACAGGGTAGAGTTGACTTCGTGGAGGTATTGACGATAATGATTGTTATCAAACTAGGATACATGATAACATGCACATATTTATACAAGTATATATATTCTATGTCACTAATAAGGGAGAATATATCAGTGTGTTCACGCTGACAATATAATGTGTATTTTCGTATCTCAAATCATGCATTTAAAAAATGCATGCCATCTAAGTAGTATGAACAAACCTTTTTGTGTAATTCCGACACCTAAACTGTGAAAAAATTTTAAAGGCTACATGCTGCCGTATTTCTGTCGTCTAGTAAATGTGTGTATTTTTAGCTCATCTGACATAGTCAGATGCAGCTTGTAGAATCGCATGATCGTCCGTCCGTCCGAGCGTCCGTGCGTCCGTCCGTGCGTCCGTCCCTCAACAGTTGGGCACAAATCTTAACCGCTCGACGTACGGTCACGATATTCGGGACGTGGGGGGGTAATCCGAAAACGAGTTGGGATGTCGAAGCTGAAGGTCATAGGTCAAAGGTCAAGAGGTGTAAAAGAAGGGGAACATTCACTCCTTAACTTAAGGTATAGGGAGGAAATGCAGAATTGCGGC